TTTATCTCCCCACCCCCCTTTGAGCCAACACACGTCTGTTGGTCACTCTCAGGTTATAATATAAGAGTCGTTTACACACACACACAAAGATCAGATAAACTGGCAGCTGCACAGGGATGGGAGGGAGCCCTGCACGGTGCTGCAACCCACAGCACGCCCACATCCACCTCAAAATGCTCTAGCCCCCAGAGCGGGTGTATGAGAATGTGCACGAACACAAGAGCAAAGCAGCTTGACTTTGCTTAGGAAATAAAAAAAAAACTCAAATTCTCTGTGAGCGAGAGGAAAAGGCCATGCTGAAGGCAGCAAGAAGTCAGAAACCAGATTCTGCTTTACCTCCCAAGCAGCTTTATTGTGCAATTCTTTCATTCAGAGCAGGCCCGTGTTCCTCAGGCTCATGCATCGCTGAACCCAGCGGGTCAGACGCAGCGTTGCTGCAAAACCTGCGGGGAAAGGCTGGCTGGATACCTGGGTGCTCAGCCCACGCTGCACTCAAGAAGCAGAAAGTCCACCCTCGTGTAAGACAGGCGTGCTGGATGCTCCCCTTCTGCACAGAGCTGCGCCAAGGATAAACATGCTTCAGGGCTACAGTAAGAGGAGGAGAAGAGGAGGGTGAGAAGCAGAGAGAAACGTGGCTGTGGCTCACTGCAGGCTGCCTGCAAAGGGTTAAGATGAAGAAGAAGCCAGGACCTGGCCAGGAGCAAAGGCAAGCCTCCAGCTCAACTGAAGGTAGCCAGCCAAGAGGCAGAGGCTGCTGTCCTCCCCCAGTAACCCAGCCTGCTGTGACCCGTCCCCACAAACAGCTCTGGCACCCAGCAGGCCTGGGGATGTGACAGTGACAGGCCATTTACAAGGTGCTGCTTAAACACAGCTCCTCCAGCGGGGTTCCTGTCTCTAAAATAGATAAAATCCATAACCATGATTTTAGCCCTACTGGTCTAGGCAAAAAGGAGTACTGAACACAAGGAGTCTTCTCCAAGCTGGGGGTAACTCTCAAGGGACCCCTTTTCCGACACTGAGCTTGTGTCTGATTTTAGGTGTGCTGAGCAGCTACCTATCCAGCTGGGTCCTGAACTCTGCAGGGTGGACGCACTCAGGTCCAGGTCTCATTAGTAGAAGCAAAGTTGGATTTTCCTTGAGGTCACTACAAACCCCTGCTATCAGCAGGACGTGCAAATTGTCACATTGTTGGACAAGAGCCTGTTCGCCACTGACAGGCCCTCTCTCCTCAGGTTTTTGAGCTGCAAGGACTGACCTGACCATGGGCAGACACACAAGCTAATGCAAGAGCAGCTGAACGCTCTGCTCATCCCGTCATCGCTCCCTGCGGCCGGCAAGGAAAAGTCATCAACTGGCTGACAACAAAAATCACCTTTAGATGTTAACAACGCTATAAGGACGTCACACAGTTGCGAAGGGCAGAACCACTAAAAACCAGGCAGAGTGACCACCATTGTGGTTTTAAAACTTCTGTTAAAAAAAAGAGAAGAGCCCTTTTCGTTTGGCACCAATGACTACAGCCTTTGAGAGCTCATTATAGTACTTCCTAATGCTTGCAGGGAAGTACTCGTACCACTACTTTGCACCAGAGAACTGAAACCTGTCCATCCCAGCTTATGTCAGAGCAGAGAAACAAATCCAGTACGCCCCGCTTTCTCCTTGGAACAGCACTGGAAAGCCTTGAGTTAACCCACCCCAAACCCACCCTGTTCCTTACAGCAGACCCCGAGGTCTGCAAACCCCTCACCTCCCGGGGGGGGTACACAAAGCGCTGATCTACCCGACCAACAGCCGCCCGAGGCGAGAGGCGTTTCCCCCAGCCTGCAGTAGGCAGCGTGACCCAGCGCTGGGGCTTTCACAAGCTCTGTGTAAACACGAGCGCAGGAAGAGCAAATGCAAACCATATTTCCACAGAACTTTTCCCCAGTCAAAGGGACCTTGGTTCCTAGCCCTGGGAAAACAGCTGAAAAAAAGGCACGGACGCCAAACCCAAGGGTCTAAGAGTCAACTTTGAAGAAACAAAGGGTGGGAACATTGGTTTTAATTTGGGAATTGATCTGGGGGAGAAAGCCAGTAAGCAACAGAACAGAGAGACAGGCAAGAAGGAAATTTACTTTGGACCTAATCCTACAAACTTAACGCAAGAGAGATCTTTGCGGACACTGCTCCTCACCTCGGCCGCTCAAAGGTCCACCCACAGCCCCCGACAGACAGGCAGCCCTTGTCCTCTGCAGCACGGCTCCTGGGGCGGAAGGGATGAGGATGAAGGGGAGAGTGAAGGCAGGAGGGAGAGGGGAGCAGAGTCCTGCCCCCCTGCCCCTCCCAAAGCCTCCCCACCACTCTAACTCGGGTTCTGGCTCTCAGGGGAAACCAGGCGTCCAAAGTCTCCTTGTTCTGCAACACAAACCTGGCTGCTCAGCCCACACCTCCCAAGGGACCGGGCTCCAACCTGCAATCCCGGAGACAGGAAAACTGCCCCAAGCCCACGACTCCCCGAGCAGGCTCAGGAGGGACGGCATGGCCCCAGACCATGCCCCTGCCTGCCCAGGCAGCTTCTAGGCCCGGAGGAAGCGAACCGAACCGCCCACACTCGCCACGGCTGGGCTCTGTCTGCACCACGTTGGGCGGTGTGGAAGGGGGACGTCTGCCAGCACTGCCGGTGGGCCAAGGCAGCCTCCACGCTGCTAACAGGTGGCTTTCAACAAAAACAGCCCAAGCTGGATTTGAACTGGTGCCCGAGCACAGAAAGCTCCAAATTGCATCCTCAGCCCCCTCAAAAAAATTTTCATCTACCAGGATCTACATAGAAAAAGGAAGAGGAGTCTGGACGTCAAGTCCTTTGGTTAGTGTTTTTCTCCGCTGCTCGGTCTTCTTGCACAGTGTCCTCTCCTATGCAAGGATGCACCGGAGAACACTCAACCAGCTTGCAAGACCTTACGCTCACCTCAGCAAGCTGGATGACAAGCCGTAGCGTTAACCCCTTCCCTTCAGCAGACCCCAAGGCTAAAACTAAGAGCAAAACATTCCATCAGGCACAAGGCAGGGCTGAAAGAGAGCTCGGCAGACCGCTGAGCCACACGCCACAAAACTCTCTCTTCCCCATCCCTGCTGGATGGCCTTACCATGGGCCGCTCGGCAGCAAGCTGTGAAGGTGACACCAGTGCCTCTGGGAGAGCCGGATGCTGGGACAGCCCTGGTGACCACAGCTGCCTGCCGGGAAGCCAGGACATGAGGGATTCCCACAGGAAGCCTGCCAAGTCTCAGCCATGCTCCCATTCGAACAGCCAAGATCTGCTCCAGCCATCCCAGGCGAATCTGCTAATTGGGACATGCTGTGGTTTCCACCACAACCTAATCCTGTTGGAAAAACAGAGCAGGAACTGCCTCGTCCCCTCTGTACCTCCTCTCCTTTCCCCAGAGCTGGCTTGCTGCCCACCCTATTGCTCATCACTCCAGAAGATTTCCGGGACTCATGGAGGCATGAGGGATTTTATATGCATTTGAACAACCTTGCATCCTTCCTCTCCATCCGTCCTTCCCTTCTCCCCTGCTCCTTTGGATGTCTCCCAGACTTGCTCCTGCTCTTATTTATCTTCACCGCAAGACACTTGTGACTTCAGGCAACCCTAGTCCTATAAACCTTTTGCTGTTCCACAGAACCATCCTGGGCTTTCCCCATCCAAGCGGGCCCTGCAGCATCCAAAGGAGGAACCTGTCAACCTTCTGAACAAAATTTCACTGAACAAATACAAGCATTAAAGTTCCTGTTGGTTTCCTTCTCCCTACAGAAGCAGAGGGGTGTTCACTCACGCCAACGCTAGAATGCAGGAGATAAGCAGGCTACCAATGTCAAGTGCTATCAGAGCCATCTCCTCGCCTTTGTTTCTTCCTCCCTGCGAGAGATTCCAGTGTATAAGGAAGGAGACGAACAATGGGGGATACCCCGTCCCACCCATATGAACCCAAATCAACAGAAATCCCATGTGTCAGCGGAAGAGAGGGAGACACACAGAGAAAACGCAGAACGGCGCTGGCATTTCAGGGCACCCTTTTTAGCTACGGCAGGAAGGTCAGAGCCAGAACAGACAACTCCAACACAATGAGCTGCCGAAGCTAAATATAAACCCGTCGAGGGCATGGATACAGGAGTTTGTTTTTACAGTGAGCCGACAGACGGTCAACATTGTGCCACATCCCTGCTCAAAATAATTCACAGCTTTATCATTACTGACAGTCTTTGTATTTTATCAAAGAGGCAGAGCCCAGGCTTACGCTCGTTTGCCAGTCTAAGTCAGTGGAAATGATTAACTGAGAACAAGAAATAATCAAACTTTTCCATTTCTATTATGCCAGTCTAGGAAAATATATTATTTTCCTCTTCCATGATGGGATCACCTCAATAGGGAGCCACTTATCTGGCTTCCTCACACACACACACATTTACCCTTAATGTTATGTTAACTCCTACGAACACCGTGGCTCTCAAGCCCGCAGTCCTTTCCCAATATGTCACTAGGCAAAAACGTCTTTTCCTTAAACCCGGGTCACACGTTGAGGTGTCTACACAGATATTCAGATCTGGTTAACAAGCTGGTTTTGCCTGCTTACTCAGAAAAAATAAAAAAGGTGACATTTACCCAGCGTAACTATCTCAGTATGATTCTCAGAACTGCAGAGATTTTTAGAGGAAGGGGAACTCCTGGGAAAGAAAAGAAACTTGAGGTGTTAAAAGCAAGGAAAAGAGAATATGCAAGAACAAAATTATGAATTTGGAGATAAAACATGCTTCAGCCCCAAAGAATGGATGGGAAAGAGCCCTCGCTAGAATTCGGGATGCTATTTTTAAGTACAGTGGTAAGAAAAGAGAAAACCATAGTGCCATGCCAGTAAGACATTTGTTATTTGGTGCCCAGGGAGACGCTCAAATGATTCGCATGGCTGGTATTTAACTTGGTATTTCTTGCTAGGCTCATGTTACCGCAGAGAAACCATTTCCTTACTCTCAAGCATATACTTCTTGGCAATAGGCAGAGAGAGCAGGCGGATGTGACCGATGAGGGAGCCCCAGGCATGGGCTCTGGAGAGCGGAGCTTCAGGCGGCAGCGGGCTGTATGGCTGGATCACGAAGTAAACAGTCAGCAAGACAAGTCCCAGTGTGAGCAGGCCCTGGGAGAGAAACCAGGCATGTAATTAATGATGCTGCAATGAGCCGATGTGTCTTCAGAACAGGACACACCTTCTGGCTGGTATCAAAGGGTGGTGGCTGTGCGCTGGAAGATGAACACTCCAATTTTTGCTGTGGCTCCTCATTCAACTGCAATGCTATCTGCCTACAGAGCTGTCACGCAGTTTTATTGTTAGGGCTGTCCAAGAATGAAATTAAGCAGCCTTCAAACCCAAGCCACATACCTCTCTCTCTTCATATATGCCCTGCAAATAATCCAGCTCCCGAGCAAGGAGGATTATCCACAGATAGTTCCGATTCCTCCCACCTAATCAAATAAAAATTTGTACTTCTGCCATGCCTCTTACACAAGGTTTTCAAGGCTTTTTGCAAACATCTGTCAAGCCTCGAAATGCTTTGGCAGAGCTGGCACCAGTTCCCTCCCCCACAGCAGAATCCCAAATAAGCCTTACAGAGATGACGTGATGCATTTCTCCCCCCCCGGCCAAAGTCAAAGTGAATCAACAGCAAAAACAAGAACGGAAGCCGAAAGTTCAAATTTCCAGTTTCCTGTTCTCCTGCCTCGCTTCACAGCTTTTTATAGGATGTGAGGAGGAAAGCTTGATTTTTTTTCTACATGGAAACCATCATGATGATTTTGCAAAGATCACACTAAAATATTACTGATTATTATGCCAGTGGGAAGGTCTTAATCCTTGAACCTGCCTAACAACAGCATCCTTTCACCCACTTCGCAAAACTTTTTACAGCATCTTTTAGTTAAGGGTCTCAAAACATTTTTCTAGCATCAAGCACCATGGCAACAGGTTTATTTTATAGACTAGAAGGAGAATAAACACAGGTGGAAGCTTGTAACAGGGTCAGAAACAGAACCTGGACCTCTTCATTATTCAACCCTGAACTTTAAGATTCTCCCTCCTTCCTCACACGTCCACTGAGGGTGCTGACACTGGCAATTTTTGCCTGAAGAATCAATCCAAGTCTCGTTCTTTAATAATTTAAGGAGAGGAAAGTGTTGACATGTTAAACTTGCAAAACACATGAGCCATTTTAAATCTCAGTCAGCTGCCTTCTGTTTTCAAACCAGCTCATGGGATGAAGCAAGGAAGCTACGCTACACAGCTCTTTAAATAAAGAACTCAGAAAAATTCATCAAGAAAATGCACTGGGAAATAAAAGGCTCAGGTGCAAAAGGAAAACTTCTGACCCTCAAACGGTCTGTGCATGCACAAAAGACATCTTACCTTGTAGAGAGCCACTAAGATGGGGTAACGTGGAGGTCCCCTTTGGGGTTCATTTCTTTCCAAGAGCTGCTTGATGAATTTCTCGATGGCTTTTTCTGACATCCCACACTGGTGGCCAGTCTGCCTCACCAGATCAATCGTCTCGGACAGCTTATCATAAATGCTGAGCTCATTGGCTGAAAGCTCCATGGCCTCCGATGAAAAATCCCTGTGGAGAGATTCAGCACGTTAACAGAAAACACGCTGTGGCCATATACAGCTCAACGCCAGCATGTGCAGAGAGATCACAGGAACATCACAACAGCCAGGCAAGGAGGAAGGCTTCTCTGGAGCAAACCTGATTGCAGCCAAGGGCACAACATTTACCTGCAATCCTAACAGTCTCTGCTGGTTCTGTATCTCCCGGGGAACGAAAGAAGTCACAAAATTTCCTGACAAGAGAAAAACCGGCCAAGATTTGCAGCTTATGCAAATGAACAAAGCTTCCCAGAAATCACTGAAACTCCATTTCTTTATCTATTCCAAATGAATCCATCCCATAAAGTGATTGCTCACCAAGCGCAAGAACCAGCGATACAAAGCTGATCACCACACACAGTACCCAAGCTAAGCTCTCTTGCACTACAATTTCAGTTGCTTATTTTAACATAGATTTGTTTTCATCAAATCCCCTGTCAGCAGTATGAACAGGACAGAGAAATAAGCCGTATGTACGGGGCAAAGTTCAACAGTTTACAATTTGCTTAACTTTTCGCAATCTGATGTCCGGGTCAACTGATTATTGAGTAACAGTAATGACAGCAGCGTGCTCTGCGGGTGACAAAAGCTCCTGCGTTCCTCTGAAAGTTTGCCTCCAGGTCATTCACACGCCAAAATGCCCCGTAACTAAATGGCATTGTGAATGCCAGACAGACACAAAATTGCATTTGACAGCAAATTATTTCCCACCGAGAAATTTCAACAGGGGAAGCTTGTAAGAACATACCTATGAGCGATCAACATTAAGATGCCAAAAAAAGAAATGTGTTCCTCCTCCACCACCCCTGCCTGCCACAAAGGCAGAGCCTCATGACACCAAGAGCAGCAGATGGGCTGAAGAAAAGATGCAAAGAAATTGCTGGACAAGCTAATAGCTGCCAACATGAGAATCCCATTGTCAGAGCCTCGGACAAACACTGCTGGGGGAAAGGGAGCATCTGCGAGGCCTGGCTTTGCTTCTTGTTTCTGAGCTGGGAAAACTGTAACCTGGATCAAACTGGGACAACTGAAACTCTTTTCTGGAGAGACACAGTTTAGCGATGCGTTTGCCCTGAAAGCACAGACTGAGGGCGACCACATAAAACCACAAGAAGCACGACGGATACACCCAGCTCAGAGCTGAAAATGGACATCAGGCCCCCCGTCTGCCTTTTGCTCCAGCTACCACCTGAGAGCAGGAACCAGCTGGTGAATCCAGCGTGCTGCTTCACCCAGCTCACCACCTTGCTCCACAAAGTCTGGCGCTGTGCTGCATGAACCGTATGATTACTTACCCAGGTCTCCTCAGCACACACCTCCCAGCACAGCCTGCAGTTTAAAAGCACAGATCCATTTTGCTCACTTGAGACCAAGCTGACAAGCGCTGGGTAACACGCCACCCAAACTCAGATTTGCTCTGCTCTAACTCATCCCGGCTGCTCCCACAGGACAAATCAGCCATAAATGTATGTATGCATATACCAAGAAATAAGATTCTCTTGTTAGACAATCAGCCTTAAAATCTGATTCGCCTTGAAAGAACTGGCCAACAGCTCTCCCCCTAAACCATGGGCTCCTACAAAACACAACTCAAGCAATGGCATTTTTAATATTTTTTTTTCTGCAATGATAGGGTGTAGTTTCAGAAAAAAACAAAACCAAAAGAAAACAACACTTTTCAACAGGACTACCAGCTTTCAATTGCTCCTCTCTTCCCCCCCAAGATCAACTCCCTGTCCTGCTCTTGCACATTTGTTTATGTGATCACATGGTGAATCAGATCAGGAAAATTATCTGGCTGAAAAATAACCCCTATTTGTTTGGTCAGCAGCTGCCTAAGCATCCAACTGGAGCAGTTAGTGTCAGATGTTATATTAACATCAGTGTCAAATTTCTAGCCACAGCCTTAGAAACACCAAAAGAGTAAAATGCCAAATTAAAACCTAACCCCAAGCGCGCAACGAGAACATGCTGCACTACATTGTCAGGTTAATTAGCTCCTGGCCCTGTTCTACTGACATTCCTCGCGTTCCAGGCAAATATTTGTCCCAGATCTTACCACCTGAGCAGCCCCATGGGCTAGCAAAGCTGCCCCAAACCAGGTTTGATCAATAATATCTCGTTATGGATCCTAAGCTCTCCAAGGCAAGGACCTTTTCTTCTCATCTGTAAAGCACCTGGCATGCACTCGACTCTATAAAAACAATACATTGCTTTACTAACTCATTTATGTAATAGCCTGATTCATATAACAAGCAAGAGCCAGCACATCTGCAGGATATTAAATGCCTTTTTTCTTTTCCCCCAGCTTTTATGATTGCCCTAGTTGCCTCGACACTGCAACTGGTGTGCTAAATGGTCTGAAAGGTTATCTAGCTTCCTCTGGCTCCTGTGCGCCAAAGCTTTCACCTGTGAAGCTCTCCTGTGCTGAATTCCAGCAGATTCATCAAGCTTCCCCTGCTTAAAACACCTACCCCTACAGAAATGCTGCTGAACACAGTGACTTCCCCCTTTCCAACCAGCAGAACCATGCTGTTATGACAAAATGCCATGACACACCCCAGTTCTCCCCCCTCTCCGTCCGTACTCAACTCTGACAAACACCTCCACAGACAACCCCTGCGACTCCCAGCCACCAAAAACCCACCGCAGCTCCTTGACAAACTCAAGAACGACCTATGTCCTCAGCTCGGAAATAAGGCACTACGCTCCCACATTGTCTGGCGAACAGATGAGGCCTTAAAAACCAAATAACAACTCATTATTCCCCTTCCAATACAACCGACAAAATCATAACAACAGCCTACTTTTGCCCACCCCCCGCACACACGGAGCAAGCCGCAGACAGCAACCCCTCGGAGACAGGCCTTCGAAAGGAGGGGACGCAGATGGCATCGCTGGGTTTTATGAACTCCGCCGCCCCGCAGGGAGCCAGCAGCTCTCTCTAAACACACACAGCCACGGCTCTAGGCCTGACGGGCTTCCACCCCAGCGCCCAGCTCTCCCCACAAACCTGAGGCACGGAGGGTGGGGGGGGCGTTAAAGGCTGGAGAATATTTAGAATATTTAGCCTAAATATTTAGAGAGAAACGCTGTCGGAGGAGTCTTTAAAAGGGAAAGCTCGCTCGCCTGGCTAATGAATCTGAAACAGCAATATAAACAGCAATATAAAC